CCTATCACTGATCATACTAATACTCAATTAATTGTTGTTGAATGCTAGGATGGGAACTGCTGCTCATTTCCTTTGCTTCAAACCATTCTACAACCTCATTCTGCTATGCAAGTTAACAGAATTTAATTTGACATATCTAGAGTTGGCAGATTGGTCTGGTAGGGTTGTAAGCTTCAGAGCCTCACTAAATCAATCTATTATAAACTTAACACTTTTGAACAAAAGCCTTGGGGGGCTTATTTGGCAGAAAAGCTTATCCCCTTCTATGTATTTTTTCAGTTGGAGGATTCTAAATGGCCTGCTCCCCACTGATGAAATCCTTATACTCAAGGGTCTGAGGGGTCCTTCTAAATGTTATTTATGTGGGGAGGAGGAAGAATCTATTCCTCATTTATTCTTCAAATGCAGATTTTCTAAAGAGGTTTGGGCTAAATTCTCTCAAAGTCTCGCACTGAATACTATTCATTTGGAATGGACTAATATTCTTTCCTGCTGGAAGAGCTGGAAGGCTGCTAAAGTTGGAACAATTCCTTTTATGATGGTATGGTTCCTCTAGATGGCCAGGAATAAGGCTAAGTTTGATGTTCAGACCAACACTCAGTCACATGTAACTAGACAATGTATTTCTTATCTGCACAAGTTAATACACTACCAAAATTTCTTATGCATCTGTTCCCCTCCCCCACTTGGTAGGCCTCCTTCTCCCAGGATAACTACTGTTTATTGGTTCCCCCCACCTGTCCTTTCATAAAAATTAACACTGATGGCAGTTTTTCTCAATTGGGGGCTGGGGTAGGGGGTGTGTTCAGGAATCATCTTGGACATTGCCTCCTATTTTTTCAGGCTCCGGTTTATGTTGTTGATACCCTTGAAGTTGAGTTGATTGTTGTGTATTGGGCCCTCACCTTTGCTAAGATGAATCGCTGGCATAATTTACTTCTTGAAGGAGATTCAGAGGTTCTTATACAGATGTTACAGGATGGAAGACACTCCTCTTGGTACCATTTACAATGGTTAAGAAGATTTTGACCATGTTGACTAGTTTGAAGGTTCAGCTTGCCTTTATTTACAGGGAAGAGAACAAACCTGCTAATTGACTTGACATGAATAGTTTTTTTTTTCCCTTAAAAGTCTTGTTTCTTACTCCCCACCTCCTCCTCTTTGTTTTTTTGCTGGCTGGAGATGCTTTACATGCTCCCAACCTAAGAGTTGTAACCTGAGGTTTTCTTAATGAAATACTAAATTTTGTTTTAAATATGTATATATAACCCATACTTTAATTTTTCAATTATACCACTCAAATGTTTTATGTGAAATTTAAAATTGTACTATTTTAAAATTTTTAAAATATATTCTTGTGTGTGGTATAAATGTAAAATGCAACGTTTATGTGTTAGATCCGTAAATATAAATGATGCTAAATAATAGTCTACAAACTGCAGGAGCCAATTTCCACTGTATTAGAATAAAAAATAATTCTTCATAATCTTTAAGAAATAGTTTTAAGCCTTAACTTTAATTAAAAATATTACAGAATTACAAAAACACATCTCACGTAGCGGTGAGTATCAGGAGCGTAAAAAAAAGTTTAAGACAATTACAATGGCGATTAATAAGATGATTATATTATTGTTAACATTCACACAACGTTGCTCCCGAGCTAGATTTTCCTCACATGATGTTCTCAATTCCTGATTATCGTCGTCGGGGGAATCCATCAAACTGTCCTCCCAACAGAAGAAGTTACACTGTTCTGTGAGGCTCCGTGGGCAGCTATAGAACTTTCTGCAGTAGCTATGCACCCGACGTGACATCATCAGGGAAGTTTGGAGGCCACAGTGGCATAGGACTCGACGGGAAGACCCCGAAATCCTTGAGCTCATATTCACACGGTGTAGCAAGCTCTTTAGTCTTACTAGTCATGTTAATACAATGCTACAACAAAGAAATGAAACACAACAATGACATAATTCAGAAGATATAACAGTCTAAACAATTATGGTTATTGCATCAGATTAAATAAAAACAAACAATTTAAATAACGAATTTGATATTTAAATAAGGACACCAAATAAATAACGTGGTTCGATCAAAATGACCTACATCCACGGGAAAGGAAGCAAATAACTTTATTAAAGCAATGAAGAGGAAGATACATAGCTTTGAATCATACATTATTAGTCCCTCCCATAACCAAATTCATGAAAGGACATAAAAAAATGCATTGGCATTCACATACATATAAAAGCCACAACAAACTCACAACATACAGAGAACTACACTTTACACAACTTACCCGCAGCATACACAAAACAGAAAAACAGAAAACTGCACATAGCTAACCTGTAGCATACACAAAAATAGAGAAACTGAAAACTGCACCTTACACAACCAACAGGAAAGCTGTACGGGAAGGAAGGTAACCTCAATTTTCCACCAATCCAGAGCCAACATAAAAGAATCTTTAAAGAGCTTGAAGCCACTCAGTTTGTGAAGGTATGTCGAAATATTAGTCATGATAGCAGTAAGGGAGTTGCCATCATGCTTACTAGAATTCTGTCATCCATAACAACCATGTAAAAATAAATTAAAAATAAGCATATAATGCTTTCCTGGTGCCCACACGAGCATAAAACAACCAACAATTATTAAGATTGTTCCAACTTGAGGGAATTCTTTTTTGAAAAAGGTTAGCAAAGCAGTGCCAAACTTGTGAAGAGTATGGACATTGGAAATATGCAAATGATTATTAGCTTATTGGAAAAATAGAAATTACATGCCTTTTACTCCACCAAGTAACAAATGGCCGCAATGTAAGTGCAGTCTTGGTATAAAGGGTTAGAACTTTCCTCAACGGTTTTATAGAGGCAACATTGAGAGGCCACTCGAAGCCCCTTACCCCAAATGTGCTCCCCCCATATCAAAATTTCATAAGAGAATTGCCACTCATATATAATTTTAGAGATCAAAACCTTAACAGGTATTTTTACGAGTAAAGAATCCTTCTTCTCCTGGTGAATATGTATTCAAGTAATAGCAGCAGAAGAAGACCCCAGAACCTCCCCTAATGACAGTTCAATATTCCACCAATCCATACACATCACTCAATTCTCATGTGATGTTAAGGATTAAATGATATGCTCGTAAGTATAAAAATTTAGGTGTGAGAGATATAAATATAGAAGAATTGTGTGCAATGTATGTAAATGCACCAATGCAAAGTAAACTGTGCATATATTAACTTAGTTTATCTCAACATAACACCTAAAGTGTGCAAACTAAACTGTGCATATAAAAATTAATTAACAGGACTGCTAAAATGGAAATCTTCCATCAATAGTTAACCAATTTCAATTGTAACATTAAAAAAGCAGTGGAGTTCATTACCAAATTCCAAAATCGCAAGGTATTTCTTTGTGAGGAGAAAGAAAATGAGAGAGAGGAGAAAGAAGTTGAAAAGATTATTTCTTTGAAGTTCATAATATCAAGTCAACCAAATGTGCCACCTTCAACTTCAACTACACTAGTGAGGGCAACTATTTAAATGATGACTTCACTCGTGATGATAGCCTCAACTTCAGTGATTACAGTTAAGGCTGCATCAAGTATAAGTTTGATGGTAGAGACCACAACTTTTGAGATGTTACTCTTGCTTAAGTTGACAATGCTCAAGTTGTTGACCCAACAATTTCAAGTGATTCTACAAGTATAGTTATGTTAAAGGCGAACTCCTTGAGCATGTTGGTCCATCATAAAAATACCTCCAAAATTTGTGATACAAAGAACAACTCCAAAAGTGAGCTAGAAAAATGAAACGAAAAAGAAAATCAGTGATGCAACCTTATCATGCTTTTGAAAGTTCAAATTGCAAAGACACCAATATGGCAGCTTTTTCATCAAAAAGAGAACAAAATATAACCATTGTTGACTTCAATGTGGATCCACTTGCCCCAAAATGAGAATTGAATTCAGTTACATATGATCTTGGTCCCTTGATTCTCTCCATCTAGTTAAACAGAGATTGGGAGGGATTTCAGTAGGCCCAAATCATATGGATCTTATATGAATAAAATTGGAGCATTGCCACTTTACTCGTTCTTTGATCAAAACCTTCAAGAAGATGCATGCGCGCCCATCTAGAAATACATGTATGAATATTTCACTCCCCACAGCCACATTTTATAGCCTCAAAGATCATCGTAATACTAATGTGCCAGGATCATGGCATCACGAATACCATAATACCAATCCAGAGCCAACGAATACCATAAGATCATCACAATACTAATGTGCCTGGAACTCTTTAAAGCATTAAACATAAAACACTAATGTGCCAGGATCAAAGCATTCAACAGGAACTATCAAAGAGGTGACAAACCAAGAGCTGGAACAATATTAACAAACAACCAAAAGGATCACTTTGCTACCCTACGTGAAAGTCCAGATCCATCACAAAAAAAGAGGAAAGAATGAAAATGACAAAAATGGGAAAGAGATAAGGAGGAGAAGCCAACAGAGCCTTAAAAACACATAACCTTCCTCAGATCTGCAAAAACAATTGAAGAGAATGGTTCGTCATACCCGAGATCGGTCGTTCGAGGTTAGGAAAGTAGAAGGCGCAGGGGATTCGCGAGAGAGGCAGCGGGGAAGCAGCTAGGGTAGAGGAGGAAGAATGCGGGGTAAAGGGTAAAAACATCGGGGCGAAAGAGGGGCCGCGGGGTTAATCCTGCAATCTGCTTTCTCTGAGCTTCGTCGAAGTTGTGCCGCGAATCTACGAACCAAACAACGAGAACTTTACCAAATAGCCAAATAGTCGCGGTAAATGACCGCGTCACAGGCACCCCACCCTCCCAAACGAACCCTAAGTTGCTCAAGTGATTGTATTGTTTGGCCAACATGGCCCATATCATGGCCCATATCCATGCTCGATCTATCCTTATTCCTTGCTCAGTTGGCTCAATCTTGACTACTAATTTTGTTAAGCTGCTTATTAACTTATATTGAAAGGCTACTGCAATTTTGTGAAATCCTTTGTTGCCATTTCAAAATCATTTCCACTTACCCAGTTGCAGTGCTCTAACCTCCGCCGCTTCTCATTTCGTTGTTCTTCCTTCACTGTCGCCGCGATCTTCTTCATCGTTTATTTCTTCTTCTTTTGTTAGAACCTTCCTCATGATCGATTTCACAATTTCTCCCCTACGCCCTCCGTCAAAATTGGTCACCCTCTCGAAACCCTAATTCCCGGTCTCTTCATTTCGATGAACGAAGATATGGATGTAGCAGCCGTCGGAGTTAGTGTTGAAGGGGGGATCATGACGTCGCCGGCGGTTAGCGCGACTTTGACTGCAAGCGCCCCGCCGCCTTTTCTCAGCAAGACCTATGACATGGTGGATGACCCGGCGACTGATGCAATCGTCTCATGGGGGCCTGGGAACAATAGTTTTGTGGTATGGAACGTGCCGGAGTTTTCGAGAGATCTTCTTCCCAAGCACTTCAAGCACAACAACTTCTCGAGCTTTGTCCGCCAGCTGAACACCTACGTATGCTCTCTTTCTTTCCAAACCAGTAAATTTCTTTAATTGCAATATCCGCTGTTCTTTGTTGTGCTTTGTTTGACCCTTCGATTCAAATGTAAATGATGCAAATGTTGCATCACATTCTGTATATATTTGCTTTTTCGGGAAGCTAAGTTTTGCCTTCAATTGATTTACTTTCATCGAAATTAGTAGGGTTTGTTTTTTTTTTTTGTTTGATTTAGAGTTTGTGATCATCAGTAGGATAATATTATATTGAGCAGTTTCTCTATATTTTTTCAGTGTTCAGGTTTATTTGGTTGTTTCTTAGAGCAGTACATTAACTATAGATGGAGGATTTCTCCAACGAATGTTGTACAACATAAATACTATTCTCCTTTAACATGGTATTAGAGTGGGGTTCATCTAATACTTGGCCAAAACCCCGGTGTTTGATTGATCACACCTTCCCTCTATTGCTACAACGTGCAAAACACACATTCCTCTTTCTAGCCTTCCTCATGAAAATTTATTGGTTGTTCTGCAACTTGCCCATGCGCTGCAATCTCGTTGTGCTTGAGTCCAATTACTTGTCTGGTGGACTTGTACATAAGTGTGGGTGATGTAGACTGCATATTGCTTCCATTGCCACTATCAATTGTTCCATTTCCTACATCAACCATACTTCTTCTTCTCTGACATGAGCTAACTTTTGGATTGTTTGACTCTCGTTGTCATAGTCTGATGGCCTCTAAACCTCATCTCATTGACTTGAAACACCTCTCCACCATCTATATCAACATCAAATTAAATTCTACAGATTATCTCCTATGGTCTGGAGCCTTTCACTTCCTTGACACTTTGCACAATATTCTCCACCACATTTATGCTTCCCTAGACTGAAATGATATTGGCAAGTTTTCAAATTGACAACGATTGAACTATGTTGTTCTTATCTGGTTTCTCAATGGTTTGTACTCTCCATTGCCGCTACTATTAAGAAAAGTTTGGTTATTTTTCCGCTACCTAATATTTTTCCACAATCACTTTGCCCATGCCTGCCCCTTTTGGAGCTTCCTCCTCCGATTTTGTTTCTATCTCCTAGGATGCTATGATTAACAAACATCTTTTTCAATATATTGTGAATTGCTTTCTCTAGTTTCATTGTAACTATCTTTACTTGTATACTATGGGTTTAGATTCAGGCGTTCTTTCTATAGGTTTGGCTGCCCCATTTTCGAGCTCGGTAAACATCATCTCACGTTTTTACCTTCTTTTACCAATTGCCATCATCATATTATTTTTGAATTTTTCCACTTGGGCATTTGGGATCGTAGTTTTGATCCAACTCATTTGCTAATTTATTATTTATTTATTTTTGGGATGATTCTTCTATTGTTAATTTGGCCTTGTTACTTAAATTTGGTCCAGTTTTCTCAATAAATTTCAGAATTTTTATTAGGAAATACAAGTCAAATTTGTAAACTTTAATTGAGGCTTTAGGTACCAATATGATGCAATTCAACAAACTGAAATTTTTTGTCCCTTTACATCCGAAAATAATAATGTTGTTGAATGCAAAAAAAAGCATTTACTTGATATTGCTAGAATATTAATATTTCATGTGATTGTTCCTAACAAGTTTTGGGGGATGCAATCTTGATTGTCTGTTTTATCATCAATCATATACCCAGCTCTTTTCACTAATGTTTCACTCTTTTCCACTTTATATAGTAGCCAAACTATATTTACTTCTTATGCTTTGCATGACAAGCTTTCTAATCATGGCATTCAATGTATATTTGTTTGATATTTTTACACTCATAATGATATTGATCTTATGATATGCCTACTTAATGCTTATCTGCTTTGGTTAATATAACTTTCATTTGACCACCCGTTTCTTCTCTTTATCTCATTATTTATACCTTCCCAACATGTTCTTTTTCCTCTAGAATCCCATATTCTTACATTAATCCTCTAAAAGCTTACGGTGATTTTTAACACCATTCAGAACCACTCCTTTATCCATATTCTCTGATTTGGTCGAGCATACTCTTGCTGATGTGCTTTATGATTTACATTTGCTGATTACCTTGTTAGGTAAAAAATAATATATTTCTCATCCCATATATTTCTATATGTCATTTGATCATTTATATATTTCCTTCTATGCAATTGTTTTATCTATATTTTTTGTATTTGTTTACAATTAATATTAAGAAATGCTGCCAAACTCTTTATGCAAACCTATTTTGTTTGTTAAAATGGCCGCTTCATTTAGATGCCATACATAGATGGAATTTGGTTGTTCGATTATAGATGGTTAACTTGAGTACTTAGCTTTGGGTTTTTGCTGTCAAATTTCATCTTGATGGCTTGATCAACTAGCACAAAGATTGTTTAGTTACAGTAGGATTTACACATTCTTGTGAGATAGATTATGTTGGCACTTTCTTGCTTGCTGTTAGTCTTAACTTCATTTTCTCTTTCTGGCCATAAATCAAGGATGATATATGCCAAAAATGAATGGAAGCAATGCATTCTTTAATGATGATCTTAATGAGGTAATCTATATGGTTTGGAACTATCCTTGCTAAGATTCATTGAGAGAAATATTCCTTGATAGTTCTATTAAACCGTAGGGATAACAAAATGTTTTGTAACCATCCTACTTAAGATTCGTTGATAGAAAAACTAATATGTTTGAGTGCTGCTTGCCTTGTCTATTTTTTATTATGTTAATCATCAAATAACTGTGATCTCTCACTCCTATAATAAACAAAATGAACTCTTTTTGGCCTTTTGTCTTTCTTTTATTACACTCCTCACAACTTTAGCAATCTGCCAAATCATTATTTACTTTTCTTTGAGAGAACATTGTTATTGATATCATCCTCATCATTAGCCTTATCCCAACAAATTAGGGTCGGCTTTGACCCTCATTTTTCACTGATCAGCAATAATCCTAATTTTTCATTTGTTTCTGTTGAGCTTTGTTTGAGGTGTTAACATTATTGTTCATAAATTTTTTTGAACAACTCCTAGCCATGTGATCCTAGGTCAATCATTTTTCCATCTTAATCTTCTAATACTAATTTTATGAGCCTATCTAACAAACTTTTTTTTGATCTTTCGTTGTTTATGTTGTAATATATTTTCGCTCACCTTAATTTAATTGATGGCTCTCAAACCTTCTTTCTAATGTATTCAACTGTTAATTTATATTTTCTAGTTTTTTACGCATTCGTTTTAGCATTCTTATTTTTGGAATACAATTTAGCTATAAATGCTATTTGAACAACCCAAAATTTGCATCCATTTGATGTCATTGGCTTAATTAAACCAACTTATCTTTTACTCTATCATACCATCTTATCACATAAAATTCCCAAGACAGTTGCGTTTTGACCATCCAATAACTCTAGAAGTTATGTCCTTATTTTTATTCTTAATATTTTTTATATAAGAGATCCAAAATTTTTTAAATCTATCACACATAGTTATCATCTTATATTTTAATAGTATTGAATGATAATGGTTAACAATATCTCAACTAAAATTATCTATCATATAATTACTATTTGTTCTACTCTTTGTATTGCTTTTATCTAATTAATATTTCTTTTATTATTATAATTTTCACTTATTTTATTGGATGTCTCCTCAAATAAAATTATTTTCTTTATAAAATTTCTACAACAAGGCATCTTGCTTTAAATATGCTTTAGGAGCATTATTTTAATAATCGCTATAAAAAGACATGGACTAAAACTTTTTTCCTTGATGTAAATCCATGTTAATTTGAGGCTCTTGGGTAACTACACAATTAGTTTTAATACTAGTCATCTAAAAATTTTCGACACACCTTTTTATCTTAAAACATAATAATTATATTCCTATGATACTTGCCTTGATTTTATGCCTTCTCAAGTTCAATAACAAATGAAGGTTTTGTATTTTTTTTATACTTCGCGATTAGTTTTCTTGACATAAAATCCAATGTATGTAAATCTTTGTAGCATGAAATTAAATTTATTTATTTGAATTGATGAAAAAGTTTTAAGCCGATGTTCTATTACTCTTTTCAATAGCTTTATTGTACGACTCATAAATTTGTTTCCTTTGTAGTTGTTACACTTTTGAAAATCATATTTTTTTCTTAAATATTGATTCCGAGATGTTTCTTCTTCAATCACTTGACATCTTTAAATCATCAAAATTCTTTAATTAATTTTTTTTTTGACCAAGTTATTACAAATATCTCATCTCGATCAAAAGTTCGACCTTTATGCTTTTTTTTTGAGCTAAATTCACTCCACATTTTCGATCAATTTATAACTTCATTATATTGTTTGTTACACTCTTCAAAATTTTTTTTCTTGAAAGCTCATATTTAGCAATTTCTCAAAGTAATATTTATCTTTTATTGTTATTTTCATCTGAGAGTCATCTTAGATGGTCTGGTCACATTAAACGTCAACCATCTAATGATCCGATTAGAAGAGTAGATGTTTTAGATTCGACTTAAGAGTAGAAGAAGAGTAGATGTTTTAGATTCGACTTATGTTAAGAAAGGCAGTGGTAGACCTAGCTTGACTTGGGCATATTGTGTAAAAGTTGATCTTAATTTATTAGAATTAAATGAAAGTATGACACTAAATAAGATGCGAGGGAGAAAAAGGATTTATGTAGCCAACCGCACTTAGTGGGATAAAAGTTTTGTTGTTGTTGTTGTTGTTATCTTTATCTTTGATCATCTGTTTAATTTTTACTTTTCGTGTGTGTAACACGATCAAAATTCATAAATCTCAAATCTCTTATCATAGCCATTATATACATTTTCTTTGCTCCTTCCTCAATAAAAGGTCCATTAAGTTATCATTTCACTATCTTAGGGTCTTATTTCTTTTTTGATTATTTTTGTATCCTATCAAGTTATCATAACTATTAACTTTTTTGTGGTTTGATTTTTTTTCATGAAATCAATTCACAATTTGGCAAGAAGGAAATTGTAGATGTGCATG